GCGGACACACAAGAGGTCCTACCACCAGTAAAAAAGCTTTCCTTCGAATACATAACAAATAAATTAATTTCAAAATTTATACTCACTTCGTTGGCTGTTATTAATTTAGATGCCGCAAGATTTATTTCAACTTGTCCGGAAAACAATTCCGTCGAAGTTCGAACAACGAATATTACGTACTAAAGAATTTGCACGAGTATTTGTACAAATGCTTCCGTAGCTCTCGGGAAGCTCACCTTTATCCGATGCCATTCAGAAACGGAAGAAAAAAGGGAAACTCTTTTTGTATTCATTGTTTCGTTTTTGTAAACACCCGAGGGCGTATTCAGGTTATGATAACGAAGGAAAAAAACTCATTGCGATGCATTGGAGTTGAAAATATAATAGAAATCTCAGATTCTTGTTAGGAATTTCGCGTACAGCTCTTGTGCATGCGACGATCCCTGTGAATCCATTGCGTAAAGTGAATTGAATGAATATGGTTTTGTTAAATAAAATCTCGCGGCAGTGTACTTGGTTGTCGTTGAAGGGAATTGTTTTGCGCCTCAGAGACTTTGTCTCATCCAAGGGCATTCTCATCGATGAACAATTCGGATTCCGTACAAATCACTCATGCGTTCAACAGGTGCACCGCCTCACGGAGCACATTCTTGTGGGGCTTAATCGACCAAAACCGTTATACACGGGAGCTCTCTTCTTCGACGTCGCAAAAGCGTTCGACAAAGTCTGGCACAACGGTTTGATTTTCAAACTATTCAACATGGGTGTGCCGGATAGTCTCGTGCTCATCATACGGGACTTCTTGTCGAACCGCTCTTTTCGATATCGAGTCGAGGGAACCCGCTCCTCCCCACGACCTCTCACAGCTGGAGTCCCGCAAGGCTCTGTCCTCTCACCCCTCCTATTTAGCTTATTCGTCAACGATATTCCCCGGTCGCCGCCGACCCATTTAGCTTTATTCGCCGACGACACGACTGTTTACTATTCTAGTAGAAATAAGTCCCTAATCGCGAAGAAGCTTCAGAGCGCAGCCCTAGCCCTAGGACAGTGGTTCCGAAAATGGCGCATAGACATCAACCCAGCGAAAAGTACTGCGGTGCTATTTCAGAGGGGAAGCTCCACACGGATTTCCTCCCGTATTAGGAGGAGGAATCTCACACCCCCGATTACTCTCTTTAGTCAATCCATACCCTGGGCCAGGAAGGTCAAGTACCTGGGCGTTACCCTGGATGCATCGATGACATTCCGCCCGCATATAAAATCAGTCCGTGACCGTGCCGCGTTTATTCTCGGTAGACTCTACCCCATGATCTGTAAGCGGAGTAAAATGTCCCTTCGGAACAAGGTGACACTTTACAAAACTTGCATAAGGCCCGTCATGACTTACGCGAGTGTGGTGTTCGCTCACGCGGCCCGCACACACATAGACACCCTTCAATCTCTACAATCCCGCTTTTGCAGGTTAGCCGTCGGAGCTCCGTGGTTCGTGAGGAACGTTGACCTACACGACGACCTGGGCCTCGAATCTATACAGAAATACATGAAGTCAGCGTCGGAACGGTACTTCGATAAGGCTATGCGTCATGATAATCGCCTTATCGTAGCCGCCGCTGACTACTCCCCGAATCCTGATCATGCAGGAGCCAGTCACCGTCGACGCCCTAGACACGTCCTTACGGATCCATCAGATCCAATAACCTTTGCACTAGATGCCTTCAGCTCTAGGAGCAGGCTTAGGGACCTCGGTAACCGTACTCGTCGAACTCGACAAAGAGTTCGCCGTGCAACCTAACCCATGAATCAGCTCGCTGAGTTTCTCACCGGATCTTCTCAGCGGGTCGCGATTCCGATCCGGTAGTAGATTCATTCGCGAAGCAGCTACTATTGAGTTGTTAGGTCTCCTTCGGAGGCGCTCGGGTAGCTGTTAGCAAATCCCACCCCTCCTGGCTGAGCCTTTGCTCGCCCACCTGTCCTGGTGAAACTGGAAAGGCCTCCGGGCCACCAGTAATCCTTCAATCATAAAAAAAAAAAAAAAAAAAAAAAAAAAAAAAAAAAAAAAAAAAAAAAAAAAAGAATTGTTTTGGAAATTTACTTTTTAGTTCAAGGAAAGGGAAACGCGCGTCGTGTATCCTGATGAAAAAAGATCTCCGGGCTAGTGTTTTATTAGGGGTCTGTTTTGCGGCGGAATCCTCTGAAGAATGTTTCGGCTAATGTAAGTTCTATTCTAGTAGGAAAAACACTTGCGTTACACTGGAAGGTCGATTTCGTTTTAAATTTTGTAAGAAAATAAAATTGAAATTCCCAAAATAACTTTTGAAAATCTATGATGAAATCCAATAAACAAAAAAAAAAAAAATCTGCTGGCCATAGGTCTAAAAGAGATTGCAGCCAGTGATAGGATCGCGGAAGTTAAAGTATCTTTCGGTCACTTGGATATATCTATATATATATATATATATATATATATATATAAATGAATTGCTGTTCGTTAGTCTCGCTAAAACTCGAGAATGGCTGGACGGATTTCGCTAATTTTGGTCTTGAATTATTTGTGAAAGTCCAGAGAAGGTTTAAAAGGTAGATAAATATGAAAATGCTCGGAATGAAATAAAAATAACAATTTTGTTTTTCCTTTGATGTGTCTGTCCCCCGTCGGACGGATTCTTTTTGTTTGTTTTAAATTTATTTTATACAAAAGTTTAGGTCTTTTATTTATCGACTGAGGCACTACGATCTGATAAGCTGATAAGAGATCTGGTGTAAACGTAAAATCGAATCTATCTTTCTTTTATTTCTGCAAGCGTTTAGGCCACGATACCGTTTTTAAGTTTTAAGCTGATGTTTAAGAATGAAGTTTCGGGCCTAACTAATTTAGTTCTCTAATACTGCACTTCATTTCTTTTAAAGCACTTTTTTCTTTAATCTCGCGTTTATTAGTTTCCGCGCTCTGAATACTTAGCAGTTTTTGTGGTCATAGACATGGTGTTCGTAGACATTTCGTCAACTAAAAAAAAAGATATGTCTGAAAAGTGTGTGAGTGGTTTGAATTAAGATATTGTCTTCATTTTCATAGAATCCTAGGTATTTGTTAAGCACCGATCTAGAGCATGCTGACAAACTGTAAATGTGCGTATTCGGTAATGTTTTTACACCCGCAATGTCCAACTCTTACCAAAATATCTCTTAGTCTGTCTTACTTAACTATGTCACCTTACTTCCTACCCAACTCTCTTCCTAGATTGTTGGACTAAGTACTAGAATACATTTTGAACCATAGAGAGCTCATTATAAAAATGAAGCTTTATTCTAATGTGTACGGTGATATTCACACACATAGTGTAAACACGTTGTATTCTGCTACCCAAATTAGCTTAAAAACCCTATCTAAACCGGTTATAAATTAGCTGTTAGAGCTTAAGGTAACATTTCCAAATCGAATGCTAGCTGTTGATAGAACGGAACCTAATGATAGATAACATATTCGATTATCCAACTATTCACTGCAATTTAATTTGAAGTTATGTTCACTTGTTCTTTAAAGTCTTGCCCAACAGTCGCTCGATCTAAAAGATCCCAAAGATCTTTCGATCAAAATATTATTCTAATAAAAAAAAACGATCAACTCTAACCCAAATAAATTTAAAGAGAAGAAATCTTAATGAGACGAATCGCTCTGACTGTATCGCAACTAAGTGGCATTGTTTGTTAGCTTTTCTCTCGTTATTAATGGTCCGTAGTTGAGTTCGCTCTGCAGATATATGGGGGGAGAGGTTGCCAAGATTTCAGCATGCATTAAAGTTGGACCATTCAATTCTATGCGAACTAACGGTAATGGCTCGGGTGGAATTGAAAAGTTTATTGAGGTATTGAAATTATGAAGTTTAGAGAAAATAGCGATTTTCGTTGTGCTTGTGTTATGGTTTCGGTTTTATTGGGCAATTTGCTGATACTTCTGCTGGTATTAGATGTTAACTGGAGTGCTCTGATATTGTTTCGATTTAGAATTAAAATTCACCTAATTCCGGAGCTATGTGTCCTAAACACTCAATATCTGGATCAGGCTTCCCACTTACTTGTTTCTTTATAAGCGCGTTCGCATATTTGATTAATTTTTTTTGTTTGTAGTCAGCAACGAAGCTTAAATTATTCATCATTATTTTAAAGCATTTTTTTTTCGGATTACGCGAGTGGCGGACAAAATTAAATCTACTTTTGCAATTTAATCCGGCGTTTACTAATTAAACCTTATTATTTCCTACCTTTCGAATTCTTTTCCATGACTTAGATTTTTCATAGATATAATTTAATATTGCACTAGGTACTGTCTAATTTATAAATACCATTCTTTGTACAAAAAAAAAATAGAACGCACATATTGAGGGTTAACAGTTTCTTTGATGGGGTTTTTCATTTTCACGACAAAGGGATCCCAGGTTGTTGATAAGATTTTAACAACACGGTTAGGGTAATTTTTTTTCTATTTCAATGGCCAAACTCTATATATATCACGTGCCTTAATTGGAATCAATTGTTTATTCTTTTTCGTTTTACTAAAAGTTGGCACCGCAGTTCACGGACAATATTTCGCACCCCACTGCACAGAAATTACTGTCACTATGGAAGGCAATGATAATGACGAAGAGAATGGCGTCACCAACGCTGACGTCATCACATTAAACACACCACGGAATCAGCCTTTTTTTTGCTTATAAAGGTGGACGAGCTCACAGTTCACTTGGTGTGACGTGGTTACTGGAGCCCATAGACATTTACAACGTAAATGCGCCATCCACCTTGAGATATAAGTTCTAAAGTCTCAATATAGTTACAACGGCTGCCCCACCCATCAAACCGAAACGCATTAGTGCTTCACGGCAGAAATAGGTGGGATGGTGGTACCTACCCTTGCGGACTCACAAGAGGTCCTACCACCTACGGGGGTCAATCTGCCAGATACAATGGAAATCAATTTCTTAAATGTATTCATTTTTTGTCCACAGAAGCGGGTGGCATCAGTACAACGGAGCTCCGTATCACGCCCCGAGTCGTCCAGAAAGGGAAGAACGTCACGATGGCCTGTCTCTACGATCTGAACGACTACGGAGTGTACTCGGTGAAGTGGTACAAAGGAATGCAGGAGTTTTACAAGTATTCGCCCTTAGAGAGTCCCACCACTAGAGTAGTGCCTGTAAATGGTATTAAAGTTGATGTGAGTGTTACTTTTAAATTAAATTTGATACCTAAATTAATCCAACTTTGAAAAATCCCTAAATAGGCCGCTGTAATAATCATTTTAATTAATAAAAGAATTTTTTTAAATAAGACAAGAACAATTGTTCAGTATAAGCAATAATAATGCATACGAATTGGAACTTTATTTACAGAGGTTAAGGTCTAATGAAACACACGTGGTGCTACTACGAGTGATGCCAATACTTAGCGGTAACTATAGCTGCGAGGTCATACTGAATGCGCCATCATTTCCACACTACATGGCCTCAGGAAGGCTGGATGTAGTAGGTGAGTTAACAGTTCAAGAGTTATGATAAATACTATAATGTTGCCAACAGTGAATTAAGTTAGTTGTGTAGTGTTGATCTAGATGACTTATGTGACACCGCCCCATCTCTTCGTTTGAGTGCTGTAAAATGTAACTAACGGTTTGATGATAATTGATAATTAATTGGCTTTTACTGATGGTAGAGCTTATTGTTACTAGTGCGATTGCAGCTGCAAAGCATCTATGTGTTCCGATTTGAGGTGTGTGGTAGACGGCGACAGTAGGCAGCGGCTCGGTTCGGCCCCTGGCATTGCTGAGGTCCATGGGCGACGGTAACCACTCACCATCAGGTGGGCCGTCTGATCGTCTGCCTACAAGGGCGATAAAAAAAAGTCATGCATGACATTTATGACTTCGACATTAACATGGGTCGTTATTCAGTTTGTGATATATCTGACCTCCAGTTACCTCCTATAACTACTTGGGCCTTACAAAACCTCAACTTTCTCGTCACATAGCCGCGTTTAATTTTGCATTTTCGAAAGTATATTTTATATAGTGAATGTTGTTAGATAGAAATAGTTGATACGCTTAAAGCTCTTTTAATTTAAATATTCAACTATATCAAAATGCGTTAAGAAAAATTCTATCCAGATGTCAGAATTTTTCAGTCACAGTTAAGTATGAATTAAATGACCTCTAGACGTTCTTAGGCAGTTTTTAATTATAAGACTAATTAATTTTAAAAAGGTCAAAACTTTCGTATTTTTTTTTTCTAGAAAACTTTATTTTATAGTGAGGATAATATGAGAATTGCCAGACTGCTAGTACCTCTGGAATAATTCCACTTTTCATATATGTATTAAGAATTTAAGACGATAAAATGAAAAATCTAGATACAGGTGAAATTATGAGTCTCATGATTTTCAAAACACTATAGGTATTTGCTTTGTTCACTTCTTCAAGATATCTTACTGGTGGTAGGACCTGTTGTGAGTCCGCGCGGGTAGGTACCACCGCCCTGCCTATTTCTGCCGTGAAGCAGTAATGCGTTTCGGTTTGAAAGGTGGGGCAGCCGTTGTAACTATACTTGAGACCTTAGAACTTATATCTCAAGGTGGGTGGCGCATTTACGTCGTAGATGTCTATGGGCTCCAGTAACCACTTAACACCAGGTGGGCTGTGAGCTCGTCCACCGATCTTGCAATAAAAAAAAAATGACATAAAAGTAAATAAAATAGATAAAAAAAGTGAGCCGCCAAAAAAAACTCATAACAGTTATCCGAAATACGAGAATGTGACCATAAAAGGCAGAACTTACACGTGGGATTGCTGTGAAAAGTTCTTTACGATTGTGTTTTGCGTCCTCCACTCTGTGCCAAGTTCAGCCGTATCTGCCTAAGTTGTGGAGATAAGGACTATTTATAGTTTGGACATCCTTACGATAGGAGTCGGCGAAAAGATAAAGAGGCACTACAACGTTCTTGGGCTTTGAATGTGACGGGTCGTGTTAACAACTTTGCTTTCCAGCAGAAAGACGTCAGCTGCTAAATATGTACATATAAGGAATATGGGCATGGTATACCTACAATAGCGATATATGTACGTATGTCGTTTACTGGTGGTAGGACCTCTTGTGAGTCCGCGTGGGTAGGTACCACCACCCTGCCTATTTCTGTCGTGAAGCAGTAATCCGTTTCGGTTTGAAGGGTGGGGCAGCCGTTGTAACTATACTGAGATCTTAGAACTTATATATCAAGGTTGGTGGCGCATTTACGTTGTAGATGTCCATGGGCTCCAGTAACCACTTAACACCAGGTGGGCTGTGAGCTCGTCCACCCATCTAAGCAATAAAAAAAAAACTAGGATTTGAAACTAAAAAGCTACGTAACTCTAGACAAGCGATAGTCAGCGTCTAGTATATCGATTGGCTCGCCATCTGAAACTAGCCTATATGACGTTACATGTATCCGAGCTTGGTCAGATCCAGGGTGGATCCGGAAGTGCCGCTTATCATCTTCCGACTGCTCTTCCGCAAGGCGCGCAAACAATTCAATACATGCTAACATATTTTGAGTGTTATATAGCAGATCCATGCCCACTGAGTTTCTCGCCGGATCTTCTCAGTAGGTCTCGATTCCGATCCGGTGATAGATTCTGCGAAACACTGCTAGGACTAGTGTTAGCAAATTCTCTCAGGTTGAGCCTGTGAGGTTACCTATATGTCCGTATGTAGAATAGCCCCTTAGGCTGCCAGCAAATAGACAGGAAATAAAAACCATAAAGCTCTGATCGTATAACCGCTTACTGTATTACTATAAATAATACCAGTGAATCTTCGAGCTTATATTTTAAGAGAGGTATGTAATATGATATCGTAATATCGTATCATATGTACGTTCTAATATCGATGGACTCCACAACCATGCTTGCCGTAAGATCTACCTCTCGTTACTATCCAAAAAAATAAAAAAATATGTGTGGTTTCGTGGGACACCGGATAGGAACAAAGTTCCTTATTATAAAAATATTAATTTTAAGTTCTATTCGAGGTATAAAGAAAATAATTATTCGGGTATACGTTTTTTACTATGATTTTTTTTTTGATAAAAAAAAAAAAAAACTACTTACAAAGTTATCATCTTTATTTTATTCATAATGGTTTATGAAATATATATAATAATAATATACAAGGAAACGACTATTTATATGAATAATAATAATAACCGTCATCACGTAGACTACCTATACATTAGACACTGTATAGCCATCATACTAAGAATGTACATAAATAATAAAAATCTTACGTTACGGACGTTTTTCCCAGTTAGGGTACCCCTCCACAACTTGGTTCCAAAAACCCCAAAGATTATGTTTCGATTTGTTAGGATTAAAACTGCATTTACGGCTTAATAGCGCTTTTAATGTCGTTATATTATTATCGACGTTTCAAATACTGTACAGTTTCCAATTTCCATAGTCACGTACGACTAAGATGCTATTCGTCAATATTTGTTATGCTAATTTGCTGAGTGCAATTAAATTTTACAGCTAACGCCATAGTATATTGACGACGCTCAAACAAAATTCACCACCACCGCTCGCCCACCAAGGGCAAAGTGGAACTTTGTCCTTAATAATGTTATTTATGTTATTTAATAATGTTATATTAATTACACACTCGATAGAAATATACAATGAACAAAATTTAAAATCAAAATTTCCAAACACGACGAGCCTCCTTTTGGCTAATAAACTTAAATATAACTTAGTTTGGTACACTTAGGACTATTAACCATGATTTGTTCAGGCTAGAAAGATTAAGCCGTGAAATTCGTGTTTATTATGTGTACAGCTACTACTATAAGCCCACAGACGTCCACTGTTGGACATAGGCCCCCCCAAGCCTCGTCACAAAGATGCGTTCTGCGCTGCTTGCATCTAGCGGATCCCCGCGAACCTCAATAGGTCGTCAGTACACTTTGTGGGAGGCCTATCCACGCTACGTTATTCGGTACTTGTCTAAGACTATATATACTAACTAGCCGTACCCGTCCACTTCGCTGGGCATTTAAAATTAACATTATTATTTCTCATCCTCACAAAGATTATCTTCATTAACGCCCCCGCAACTGGTGTAGGGAGTCCAACTCTCATATAAATATTAGCCTATCCATTAAGTACATGTATTTTCTACATGGATACCAAGTTTTACTTGATACCGATATACCGGATGCATGGTTTAGTAGTTAAAACGGAACATCCGTAAAAACCACTATATATTTATATATTAGTATAGGTTTAATATTACTTATATTAATTTCGGATTTTGATATCTGATATAATTCGAAATGAAGTATTCTACGTTGGACTTGGTTACCCACTCGAAGTCAGGCTTGGTCGGGCTCGAAGGCTTGCGTTTTCCTTGTCAACCAAATATGTAATTTTGACGGGAACTAATTCATTTAATAAAGTATGTTTTCTTATAAACACATTAAGATGACTTCTTATAAAGTCATGACCCCACGGTCGTGGGTTGTAACAGGAAAATTCCCCAAAAAATATATACTCGACCTGCTTCCCGTATTATTTCTCTTAACGAGATCATGGATCAGATAATATTACGTAAAGACAATAATTTCCTTTCGTTTTATGTCCAAAAAAAGGTATTACGGCCATTATATTGTGAGAAATTCCATTTACTAGACAGCGATTATTTTCTGGATACAAAAACAATGTTGCGAAAATCTGACAGTCATAATTCATTTTTCGAATATTTTTCAATTCCCTTCAATCGAGATGCTTTGGATAGCTTTGAGAATGTGATTTTTAATATTCTGTTTATAATTGTAATTTTAAACCTGAGATAAAGGTTGTTTTCCAGAAGAAACAGGCAGAGTGGTGATACAACCTAATACAAGATGCGGGGTCCTAAAGTACCCCATTTTATTTAATAAACGAATAGTTTTTTTTTTTTTTAATTCCCTTGGCCCACCTTATGGTGAGCGATTACCATCGCCCATGGCCTTCAGCAATCGCAGGGGCAGAGCCAAGCCGCTGCCTACCGCAAAAAATAGTTTTAGTAATGTTATATGTACACAATGTAAGCCATATCCACGAATATTTAAAATTTATCTTCGTCTTTTCAAGGTTGTCAATGAACGTGGAATTAATTTGTTGAATTGGACTCCGGCCATTATAATATTTAATAACGATTTAGGCGTAAAATTAGTCGTGAAGAAGTACTTTATATTAAGTACTTTAATAGATATTTGTTTGTTTGTTAGCGCAGGTTAACGCAAAATACAAAACAAAAACCTTTCAAGCTGACTTATTAACGTTTTCATGTATCAAATTACTACAACTAGCATTGAGTGTTCAAATATAACAGGAAAAACGATAACCTATTTCGAACGAACTAAATATGAAATTTGAAACTGGACTCGTAGTGTGTGCGTACGGTTTAAAAATTACATTTCCGACACTAATTGGTAACTCATATTTACGTTGGTAAAATTTTCATTGGTTTCACTGCGACTGTGGTCGTCTTTTTTATTTCTGTACAGTTTTACGCGTTCTGATTTAGTTTAATGCCAGTAGTAATGCGTTAGTAGTGCCATCGATACCACTTCTCGACGGTTGGTAGATGTGACATAGCCTACTATGAGCCAATTAGTCGGAATTTTGATTCCATTGGAGTTACGGCCATCTCACCGCAAAAACTTTGGAAGAATACGTTTTCAACAAATGTTCACGATTGACTTTCATGGTGAAGGAGTAACATCGTGTAATAAAAATCAAGCCCGCAAAATTATGATTTGCGTAATTACTGGTGGTAGGACTTCTTGTGAGTCCGCGCGGGTAGGTACCAGCACCCTGCCTATTTCTACCGTGAAGCAGTAATGCGTTTCGGTTTGAAGGAGGATAGTCGTTGTAACTATACTTGAGATGTTAGAACTTATATCTCAAGATGGGTGGCGCATTTACGTTGTAGATGTCTATGTGCTCCATTAACAACTTACTCCAGATGGGCTGTGAGCTAGTACACCCGGCTAGGCAATAAAAAAAAGAATAAGGTCAATCTGAACAAATCTGTTGACTTAAACTAAACATGGATCATTTTAAAGCGATCATAAGTTGTCTTAACATGGATACGTCAATAGAATTGTTTACCAAACGTTGAGTTAAATGAAGATGGCAGTAACTAACCAGAATGTTTATCCTCATTTAATCGTAGCTTTAGGAGAAGACAGATAAACTTCTTGATTAGTTACGTAGTGATCGGACTAAGCCATTGCTCGGTTATCATATCTTCGGTGTAAATAAAATGATATAAGTTTTCCGCTGAGCGGGTATGACACAAAAAAACATTCGACAGATTTCGATATGATTCGAAACACTTTTACAGTTTTATTTCTCAAGGCCCACCTTGTGTTTGGAGCCCATAGACATCTACAACGTAAATGCGCCACCCACCTTGAGATATGAGTTCTGTGGTCTCAGTATAGTTACAACGGCTGTCGCACCCTCCTCATCGAAACGCATTACTGCTTCACGGCAGAAATAGGCAGGGCGGTAGTACCTACCCGTGCGGACTCACAAGAGGTCCTACCAGTAAAACTGTTTCATCAGTCACCATCATTACTTGTTTAAAAGCGATAAAAAATAATGGGGTAAAATAATCCGGTAACTATTTAACATCAGATGGGCCGTGAGCGCGTCCACCCAACCAAGCAATAAAAAAAAATTGGCTCTGACGTGGTTTCGCGGATAGCCAAAAACCTCTCTTAAGTCTGAGTAAGTGCCCACGATTTTTACTAGAATATTTCATTTCATGCTTTACTACTCGTTAAACTACAAACTTGATTTGATAAATATTGCTAAGTGTTCATATTACGGATTTCACGGACATGAAGGGAGTCTCTTTGAAAAATCAATAAAAATCCAGGGGCTGGGTATAATAGGCTAAGGCTTCTATTTGTCAAAATAATATTTTATTTTACTGTACCGTAAAAAAGTTTCTGTTTTTTAGTCGACCAACGGGGTCACAGGTGTCAATGGAAATGTCTCTTTTATTTCACTGCTGTCCCGAATCTGACCTCACATTTTTATGATGCCCGCTTTGTGGGTTCTCTGCGCAGACAAACACTTTAATAATACGAATACCGTAGTTTTTTTTTTCAAACAAGGCTAACGTTGATCTTTTGAGAGGAATGACGGTTGAATATTTGAGAATGTTATGTTTCCGTGTTATTTCAAGTTATATATTATGCTATATACCTATATATACTGTAAATGTTCACTCAATGTTCACGATTGACTTCCACGGTGAATGAATAATATCGTGTAATAAAAATCAAACCCGCAAAATTATAATTTGCGTAATTACTGGTGGTAGGACCACTTGTGAGTCCGCGCGGATAGGTACCACCGCTCTGCGTATTTCTGCCGTGAAGCAGTAATGCGTTTCGGTTTGAAGGGTGGGGTAGCCGTTGTAACTATACTGAGACTTTAGAACTTGTATCTCAAGGTGGGTGGCGCGTCTACGTTGTAGAAGTCTATGGGCTCCAGTAACCACTTAACATCAGGTGGGCTGTGAGCTCGTCCACCCACCTAAGCAATAAAAAAAAATAAAAAAATGATTCATTGTTTTATAATTTGTAATTTATATATGTCGGAGAAACCACAATTAACACTATCGTCAGACATCGTAGGGGCAAATAGGGTGATCGAGCTAAGAGATATATTGAGTACACCAATCGCGTTTGTTGTCTTGGAACAATTTAAATCTTCTCTTGACGTTAGAAAACGAATGACAGTTCTTAGGACGGAGGCACCGCTCTTCAAGAAGGCTGGTTGGTATGTGTGATGGCGTCTACGCACCTCCATCGGCTAGGCTCTGTCGTAGCACGAAGTTAGCAGAGTTCCGATACCTCAATCGTGTTGCCATCTCTCGGGAATCGTGCTGCGTTTGGTTTATTTATTTATTTATTTATTTATTTGGGAAACAAACAGTACAATACAAAACATACAATATTTAAAAAAAAAATAGCTAAAACAATAACCAAATATGTTTCCACAATCAAAATCACATATAAGTAGACAGTGAACAAGAAAAGAAATTTAGAAATTTAAATTACAAAAAAACAAAAGCAACACAATACGCACATATCATTTTATACATTAACTCACACTATAAAACTACAATACTTATCGGGCCAAATCACCCTATAAACACTCCAAAACAGCTTTTCTATATGCTACAAGTGACAAGCAAAAGATATCAGCATTAGAGAACTTAGCATCATACAACCTACAAGATCTACGGACAAAAGAGTTAGAAGCATATTTCGTTCGAGCCGTGGACNCGTGATCTAGTCGCACAATTAAGACATATCCATGTAGACTTAAATTCTGAATCCGGCGTCCAATCCTTTTTTGCAGGAAGAACACAGCCGATATGATAATAATTTCTACACACTGTACACACCAAGGTTGACTTCTTATTGTCACGAGTATTGACCACTTTATTACAGCAGGTGTACTCCATAATAAATTATAAATTACGAGATGAGATTCAAAGTAATATGAAGGCAATGTATAATTTAGCAGGTAAGTTCAGTTAATTGTTGGAGCAACAGGGCGACGACCAAACGCAGGTCCAGCGCACGCAAGTTCACGCCCGGCCACCCGAGTACTTTTTTGAATGTTTATAATTTCTTCGACTCGACACACTCAAAGCACACACGCGTGTCAAGCAAACAAGCACCCACAGGCAGGCTCAAGCGAGAAGCAGCCACAATAAGAAAGCTAAGGCGTATCTTACCAAGCTTCTATCTCTGTTACACTGCCCAAAAGGCGGAGTCAGCTGTTAAAAACGTTAAGGAAGAACAAGGAGCCACCGATGAATTGAAAACTACCAATCACAATTTAAAATTAACAAATTTAAACTTAAATGAAACGATAATGCCACAACAACCACGGAGACGTCCACTATCTACGGTCGCAACGCACCTTTTTTTGATTACCAATTACCAATCTAACGACAGTCTCCGACTTATTAGTAAGTCAATTTAGTTGGAGATGATATCGCAGTAAGCCGAAATGCGATTTTCAGGGAACACGTAAGAATAAACGATACAATGAATTTTTTTTTTTTTATTGAACAGTAATACCATACGTTTTTGATTTTGTCAATGAATTTATCAGATAGAACAGCTATTCTTCGTAAGCGATTTTGATGATTGAGAGCTTGTTTAATAGCTGTGAAACGTTTTCCGCCCCTTGTAAGGGTTATTTTAGAATTTTCTCTAAGAACTGGAAGAGCCAATGTTGGGTTTTCATTACGGGTTTTCGATGATTACCTACGAGCTAGTCTAGTGGTTAGATAGGCAGATATATAATGGAAAATTTTAACGTAATTGACACTAACTTCAAGGCGTGCGATTAATTTTAAAATTTGCCCACACAAGTACCGATTTGCCTCAGTACCGTCTTATGATGGTCCTCCACCAATTGACGCAATAAAAAAAAACATTGAGATTGTCTTTTTTTATTTTTTATTTATTGCTTAGATGGGTGGACGAGCTCACAGCCCACCTGGTGTTACGTGGTTACTGGGGCCCATAAACATTCACAACGTGAATGCGCCACCCACCTTGAGATATAAGTTCTAAGGTCTCAAGTAAGTTACAACGGCTGCCCCACCCTTCAAACCGAAACGCATTACTGCTTCACGGCAGAAATAGGCAGGGTGATGGTACCCACCCGCGCGGACTCACAACAGGTCCTACCACCAGTAATTACGCAAATTATAATTTTTGCGGGTTTTCATTTTTATTACACGATGTTATTCCTTCACCGTGGAAATCAATCGTGAACATTTGTTGAGTACGTATTTCATTAGAAAAAATGGTACCCGCCTGAGATTCGAACACCGGCTGCATCGCTCAACACGAATGCACCGGACGTCTTATCCCTTAGGCCACGACGACTTCATATTCTAGCCTACTTCCAGTATTTCATGATTCATAAATACCGATGCCGCTTTAATCTGTTATTATCTCGTCATCAGGTATCGGTGGTCTTCGAGCTACAGATCTAAGAATCTCACCGCCAGTGGTTCAGCGGGGCTCAGATGCGACCCTGGCCTGTCTGTACGAGCTGACTGAAGCTCCCCTGTACTCCGTGAAGTGGTACAGAGGGAGACACGAGTTCTATCGGTACTCACCGACCGAAGTGCCCGCCACAAAGATATTTCCCTTTGCTGGGATCAACGTTGACGTGAGTAGAACTAATTTTCATTTTTTAAAATAACTATTTTTCACCGAGTCGTCGTAATTTGTCCGGCATCATTGACAACTCGAAGTTTTGATAAGTTTATCTAGTCAATAGGTATTTTTAAAACACTCTTATTAGCTTCATGTGTAACGAAAATCTTGAACATGATTTTGACTCCCTTCAAAACGTCGGATTAACTCGAAATTTTGGCATACTTATCAAACACCGATGACAATTTAATATTTTAAACAGTTAGACCCGTTATCCTCACTAGGATAATTAGAATTAGTGATTATTAGTTGGGATTAGATCTGAGAATTTAATGGTAGGCAGCGGCTTTGCTATATCCTTGGATTTGCTGATGTCCATGAGCGACGGAAATCACTCGCCAATAATTGGGCCGTAAGCTCATCTGCCTACAAGGGCATCAAAAAAAAGTTTCATTACTTTACACAATCTATTTAACGGCCGTCTGGTGTAGTGGTAAGTGACATGGTCACTACACAAGGGGGTCGCGGGTTCGAATCCCGCCAAAGGAATATATTTGTATGATAAATATAAAAAAATGTCTTTCCGAGGGTTATGGATGTATATTAAATATGTGTATGTGTATAATAAAAATCTTACATTTATTTCCGTTATCTAGTACCTGTAATATAAGTTCTTTACGAACTTACCACGGGACCAGTTAACGTGGCGTGATTGTTAGCAAATATTTATTATTATTATTATGTACATTTTTTGTATAAGATTTATAAACATTAAAATTAAAAGCTTTAACAAAAATAATAAACGAAAAATACAACTTTACGCTTGTAACACTGAGACAATATATCATTCGTTTAAAAATAAAGCTTATGGTCGAATGACATAACATTCGTTCGCAATGAATTACAGCGGCACATCATGAGGCTTGTATACGACTTGAGACGATTTGTCTTCCCGTTACTGTCACAGACGAATGCCCGCGTCATGTAAATGCATATCACGTAGGCCGGCTGTACACTAAATGCGATATTAGTATGATATTTCAACTTATGTTTATTTAACATGGCGTGGCAGCCGTTGGAACTATACTGAGACCTCAGAACTCATATAATAATAATAATAATAATGATTCAGGACCAAGTAATAAATACAAAAAAATATAGAAAATTCATAATCAAAGACCCTAATTTACAAAATGATAAATGCAGAAAATGTAATCGTCATTCCGAAACCATCCAACATATAACAAGTGCTTGTCCGACACTCAAACCAACCGATTACACACATAGGCACAATCAGGTAGCTCACATAGTTCACCAAAGGTTAGCTCTGAAACATAAATTATTAGAAAGCACACTGAAACCATATTACCAATACGCCCCAAAACCTGTGCTGGAGGGCGCCACGCACAAGATGTACTTCGACATAGCCATACTAACTGACAAAACTATACACAATAATAGGCCAGATATAACTCTAATTGATAAAATAAATAAAGTAGTGCATTTAATAGACATAGCAGTTCCTAACACCAATAATATACAAAAATCAATAGCTGAAAAAGTAAATAAATATACAGAATTAAAGGAAGAAATTTTAAGAATCTGGAAAATGAACAAAGTCTACATTGTACCACTGGTGCTATCCAGTACAGGCGTTATACCTAAACACCTACTCCAATCTTTAAAAATATTAGACATAGCAGAGAGCACGTACATGACCATGCAAAAAGCCGCAATATTAAACACATGCCGTATAGTCCGTCAATTTTTGCAGGAAGACTTAAATATTCTGGAAGTAGAAAATGAAGCTCACTTGGCATAGGCCCGTGATCTTCATTATACCGAAATATCTTAAATATTTGAGAAACACAATACAAAGAATAATAATAATAATAATTAATAATTACATTTATTTACTCCACAATACAAATAACTTTTCAATGAATATGACATTAATTTCTAATTCTATCGAAACAATATTACAATATATTAATTATACTGACAGTGGAGATAAAAAGGCCGCGGATTAACTTTGTGATAGCTGAAGCTATCGCTGCTATTCTGCCGCTGCCTGTAATTTTAATCTATAAACTAATCTAATCTATTAAATAATAAACTAAACTACAAAAACTAAAATAATATAAACTAATCTATAAAAAAATAATCTAATAATACCTAAATTTAATATCTCATGGTGGGTAGCGGCGTTTACGTTGTAGACTTTTATGGGCTCCGGTAATTACTTAACACCAGGTGGGCTGTGAGCTCGTCCATCCATCTATGCAATAAATAAATAAATAAATAAATAACATTATTCTGTTAATTTATTTTGGGTTTATGAGGTTCGATTTGAAAGAGAGGACATTCGTTGTTCAATGCATTCGGGACTTCGATTAGCAATCAACTAGCAATTTCAATTCTGGTTCGAATTATAATGTTGTTTTCTACTGTATGTGTCAATGTGGAGTATGAAAGTTGTGGCGTCTATAGACTTTGATATACTCCTAACAGTAGATGAACCGTAAATATTAAATTACTCATTTTAGAGATATTTTTGTAAGATTAGTAAGAACGGAACGTATGAAAGGAGTGTGGAACGGAACGTTAAGATATGAGTGAGAGAAACGGTTAGAAAGGGAGAAAACGAATGGCAGCGAAAAATAAGATGGCGACGATGATTTAACGAGCAAGGCGTTGTCAGAGGCAAAGATGTCAAAATTACATACCCGATCCTGTGGACCGAATGGTAAACAGTCGACGTCTTCCTAAGCACGTCATTACCGATCCTCTCGATCCATTAACGGTGCTTTTAGGTACTTCAAGCACCGGGCACCGTCCTCGCCAAGTCCCCGCGACGAAGGGCTCGGCGAGTGAATTAACCCATAGACACAGCCCATTGAGTTTCTCGCCGGATCTTCTCAGTCGGTCGTGCTTCCGATCCGGTGGTAGATTCTGCGAAGCAGTGCTCTTGCTAGGGCCAGTGTTAGCAACGCCTCCGGTTTGAGCCCCGAGAGCTCACCTACACGCTAGAGTATAGCTGAAATAGCCCCTCAAGGCTATCAGCATATATAGGAAAAAAAAACCGTTAATTTTTTATTATTATAACAGAGAAGTTTTTGTAATCGAACAATTACAGTGTAACAGTGAAATGGTTAATTTTATGCGCCACGATTCCAATTCCACATTCCAGAGATATAATATTGAATAACTGAAAATTACATCAGGGCCGCTTTTGCAATAACATCTCCAACATCGCTAGAACTGGAAAACAAAACTTATTACATTCCAGAACACGCATTTCTTATTGCTAATGTACGTAAAAAACCCATGTTGCGGAAAATATGAGAATCTCCGCGTTCGAGTGAAATCTTCAGAATGAAACATCGGTTTGGTAACAGCGTAGATACAGGGTGATGAAATATTTTCAAAGAAAAATATCATTTCGGCCGTCAAATTTTAGATTATGATGGACTAACTTTTGACTAGTTGTTCAATGTATTAGAAAGCTTTTTTTGTCACTATATGTGTGGACACGTATCGCGACGGCACGCAGAGTCTATCGAGAAACTTATTGTTCAGATTAGGGTCAATTGTAAAAGGTTTCGCTTTTTTTTGAGCCTTGAGAGGCTATTTCAGCGTAACCTTAACTAGTAGGTGAGCTCACGGGGCTCAAACCAGAGTGATGCTAACACTCACCCTAGCAAGAGCAGTGCTTCGCAGAATCTACCATCGGATCGGAAACGCGATCCAATGAGAAGATCCGGCGAGAAACTCAGTGGGCTGTGTCTATGGGTTAATTCGCTCGTCGAGCCCTTCAAAAAATAATTATGACATCATCCTTCTTCAGTTATTTGAATGTGGTAAGCATAACTGAAGTTCAATTAAAAACATCGATCTGTTGATGAATACCAAATAGAACGGGCGTTTAATTACGAAGATAAATCTCGCGTAATAAAACGAAATGTCGCTTAAGCAAGAGCCCTTGACCGCTCGATATAATGACAATAACAAAAGCGTAATTAAACTGTACAAGTATAGTTGTTATATAATTAATTAGTAGGTACCAGCACCCTGCCTATTTCTGCCGTGAAGCAGTATGCGTTTCGATTTGAAGGGTTGGGCAGCCGTTGTAACTATACTGAGACCCTAGAACTTATATCTCAAGGTGGGTGGCGCATTTACGCTGTAGATGTCTATGGGCTCCAGTAACCACTAAATAACCAGGAGGGCTGTGAGCTCGACCACCCATCAAAGGTCTCGGCGAGCGTCAAAAAACAATTATAAAATCGCCACCGAGAAACTCCGTCTTATAAAATTTTCCAAACGAAAGCTCAAAGCTCGGAACAATTACTTTTACCTGTTGAACTGTTGAGATGACGTATTTCACAAGTTGGAATTTAGGTAATATTCCCGCGCGATTCACAGGACTACAAAACGTGATGTGCCTTATTTAGCGTCGTGTATGTTTTGTTGGGGCAAGGTACGCGACGGTTAGCGAAAGAATCTCGGTGTGGTATACAATTGTTTGTATTCGTAACTAGCGGCCCGCTCTGGCTTCGCTTCGGAAACATTAAATTTTATTATTGAATGATACTTAGTTGAGTCCCGTGATGTTACCCGCGGTTATTGTGGTGCCGCGGGTGACGCCGCGAGGCGAAGCTAGTTTAAATAAAGTAGCCTAAGTTACTCTTTATATCATCAGCTAACTGACAGTGAAAGTCCCGTCAAAACAAACAGACAGACAGACAGCCAGACAGACAGACAGACAAAAATTTAAAAAAATGTTATTTTGGTGCATGTACCGTATATAGGTATATAGGTATATTCATATGCATGTAGTAAAGCAGTTAATTCAATATTACAAACAGACACTCCAATTTTATTTATATGTATAGATGTATAGATTATTCTCGTTAAATGAATACCTTTTTGACGTGTAAAATTCGTTGGCTGTTGTGATTTGAAACTAAAGGAAACAAAAAAGCAAGTTTCTTTCCCGTACTTATTCGCTAGCAGTCTAAGTTATGTCTAAGTAGTCTAAGCTATTCCAGCTATGCCCGAGCGAGTAGGTGAGCTCACAGGCTCAACCTGACAGTATTTGCTAACACTAGCCCTAACAAGAACAGTGCTTCGCAGAATCTACCACAGAATCTACATCAACCTGAAAGCATTTGCTAACACTAGCCCTAGCAAGAGCAGTGCTTCGCAGAATCTACCACAGAATATACCACAGAATCTACATCAAACTGAAAGTATTTGATAACACTAGCCCTAGCAAGAGCAGTGCTTGGCAGAATCTACCACAGAATCTATATCAACCTGAAAGTATTTGCTAACACTAACCCTAGCAAGAGCAGTGCTTCGCAGAATCTACCACAGAATATACCAGAGAATCTACATCAAACTGAAAGTATTTGATAACACTAGCCCTAGCAAAAGCAGTGCTTGGCAGAATCTGTCACAGAATCTACATCAACCTGAAAGTATTTTCTACCACTAGCCCTAGCAAGAGCAGTGCTTCGCAGAATGTATCACCGGATCGGAATCGCAACTCACTGAGAAGATCCAGCGAGAAACCTAGTGAACAAAAAGTGACTTTCAAACGCCACGAATGTGTAAACATATCTATAGGAAGCCGTTTGCAGTTTTAATAGATTTTATTGGGACACGGCCCACCTGTTGGTAAGTGGTTACCGGAGCCCATAGACATGTACAGCGTAAATGCCACCACCCACCTCGATATATGAGTTCTAAGGTCGCAGTATAGTTACAACGGCTGCCCCACCCTTCAAACCGAAACGCATTACTGCTTCACGACAGAAATAGCTAGGACATTTTCATGTTGACACAAAGTGAACTGTCAGCTTATTTTGTGCCAAAAGAAAAACTGTATCTATTTTCTTTTAGAACTTTTCTGTCCGTCACGATCGTTTCCCTTTGCACAAATTAAATCAAACCCACAAGAATTCGTAATTAAAAACCAACAATCTATGAAACCGAATGATTAATCCGTCTTCATGAAAGCAATAAAAAAAAAAACGGTTTTCTGTAAAGTCGGTTTACTGACGATAGTTGAACGTGACAACGTCATAAGAAAATACTGATGGAATGGTTTCATTTCTCAATTATCGCAATTATCGTTGCTATAAACAATTGACACCACATTCACTTTTCACTGAACTTCATACTTGACGAAAACTCGTAAATGTATTATTGTATAGCAGCTGTCCACGCGGATGCATCGCTCACTCAAGTAGGAGAGAGAAAGATGTCGAACGCTGCCGAACGCGGAGGCCGATTGTACCTCTTTGTCGCTCGTTGCGCGCTCTCGCTTGCACTCCAAGCCTTAAATGGAACGCCTCAATGAGTCATGTTTTTTCGTGCATGCAGCCGGCTCCATCGAATTATAGACGTTGTCACGTCAAAAATCTTCCGTGAAAATAAAACTGCTTTTGTGTGGCTGCTAATGAAACACGAAACTATTAAGATTTTTGTCTTTTCTTGTGCAGACGAGGACTAACAATCATTTGGAGGGGTTCTGGATGAATTTATTTACCCGTGTAGACCTATAACACCGATCACCTATTATATTTATTACACGATGTTCATCGTGGAAGCCAATGCAGATTTGTTCACCGGCACGGTCAAATAATTCGATACCAATACACCGGATATTACTGACACGGTTTTTCCTGGTGTTAGGACATTTTGTGAGTCCGCACGGATAGGTGCGCCTATTTCGGTCGTAAAAGACCCGAGCGGAGACTGTGCGGGCCTCAAGTACAATATATTCTTATCACTGCTGTTGCGTACTGTTTGTTTTTTAATATTATGATCCGTCTAGATAGCAATTTATAATTATGCTATAGGCAGCATCTTAGCTATCCATCGGCAGCACAGATGTCCATAAGCGATTTTGAGCACCCCCCGACCCCTCGTCTGACTTAGTGGCAATAAAAATCATATCTATACTAACAAAACCCTAAAACCGAATTCTAGCCATCCAATAAAAGATATTCAGATTTATGTCCTTGGAAAAATATTCGGATGTGCCTCGTTTTTTTTTTAATACGTAACGTAATGTATTCAAGAAATAACATTCAAGCAATATTTTTTATGTATGTATATTCAAGACATAGGTTTTTTTAGGTTACGTAAAGAAAAACAGTAATTGTCTAGCTGAACTTATTTTTATAGTACGAAGTACGCTCCAGTGGATTACATGCTCGATATCACCTAACCCAGAGTTTCGGTTTGAAGGGTGGGGCAGCCGTTGTAACTAAACTTGAGACCTTAGAACTCATATCTCAAGGTGGGTGGCGCATTTACGTTGTGGATGTCTATGGGCTCCAGTAACTATTTAACATCAGGTGGGCTGTGAGCTCGTCCACCCATCTAAGCAATAAAAAGAAAAAAAGAAAAAAAAATGCTTTCTTAACAGGCTCACGTCCAAACTAGTGTTAAGTGCCTACCGCAGTCCAACAACATCAAAACATGAGTCCCTACTTTACGAAACATGCTAACTAAAACAACCTTTAAGTTAACTGGACCAATAGTTCTAATTAAAAGAAAACAACGCAAAATAATATCAATGCGTTCAAACAAGGGTTTTTTTCTAAATGTAGCGAATACTTATCCCGTATTTTCTTTTTCGCCTGCAACATTTTTCCTAAAGAACATTCTCATCGCTTCCCGTCTCGACTGAAGCATATGTTCATAAATTCAACCCTTTATCACTGCCTCTTATTTCGCTAGAACGCGGCGATAATAACCCGATGCGCAATTTGATATTTTTTTTATTCGCTACAAAACATCCTAAGAGATACGTGTGAACTTATTTTACTTTGAGTAAATATACAGTTAGACCTATAATTTAATACTATGGAACTTAAAAATAGTTGAGAAACTCAACTACTTCTAGTGCATTTTGCGTTTAATCAGGAACAAGGTACACACGGTCATCAGGCCCCAAAACTAAGATTGTCTAAGCTATGGGTACCAGAGACTAACATACATTTTTATAAATACGTTTAAATATGTATGAAAATATTAAACACCCAGAGAAAGAGCAAAAATGCCTCTTCCATCACACGAGTGGTCACTCGATGTGGAAACGAACCACGACCTTCGGTCTAGCAGACTGAGTCGCTAACTACTGCATCATCGAGTCAGTCAGATTAAGTGACGCGCAGATTGACCAGTCATCGTTCTCGTCGAACCCGTCACTTGCGACGAAGGGCTCGGCGAGTAAATTCACTCACAGACACAACCCACTGAGTTTCTCGCCGGATCTTCTCAGTGGGTCACGTTTCCAATTCGGTGGTAGATTCTGCGAAGCACTGCTCTTGCTAGGGTTAGTTTTAGCAACGTCGTCAGGTTTGAGCCAAATAAGCTCACCTACTTGGGTGGTTACGATAAAATGGTATCTCGAGACCATTAGCGTAGGTAGAAAAAAAAGCGCAGATACTACTCAGTATTAGTGACAAGAAGTTGTCAATACCCTGGACAAACTATGTCCTTTACAGTTCTTTACTAAGGAGTCCAGTTCTGTTTTTTATTGTATTGATAAGTGCACGAGTTCACAGCCCACATAGGCTCTGGAGCTCATATACACCAGAAAGTACCGTTACAAACCCCAGCCAAAGTCGTAGACTGAATTGAATATCATTACAGCGGCCCTTTATATTGATAAGAGTGCTTAACTTGGTTAAAATTTTACGACCAGTTAATCCCATGTTTTTCGCCCTGAATTTACCAAATCGGAAGTGTCGGGACAACACTAAATAATAAATCGTGGTCCACAGAGTCACATTCTCGTCGAATTTTGAGCTAACGAATTATTTTTCTCCAACAGCTGGCCAGATCAAACCAGAGCCAAGTAGTACTGACCAGGGTCAGTTTTGGTCTATCCGGCAACTTCAGTTGTGAAGTGACCGCAGACGCACCTTCGTTTGCTACGTCCATCGTTTCCAATACCATGGAGGTTGTAGGTAAGGAGTATAATGTTTCTGATCGTTGACCTGTAAAGATATGTCCTGATTACCACGGGGCTTGGGTTCCGTTCGCTGTCAGAACCAGTGTTTTTGTCAAAGATAGTTTATGAGGTATAGAGCCAAATGGGGTCTGGATATACATATACTTGTTTTTAAAAAGCATGTATGGTTATCGACACATCATTTCTCATATCAAATAGCAGGCTCGTGTTACACACGTACAGAATAGTTTATAATTTAAATTAAAAGAATATATATAAAAAAAAAACGTGCAAAAAATAATTTTCGAAATTATTAATTATTAACGAATTTGGTTCTAATTATAAATTTAGCAGATTAACGATTTCGCGCGAATCATGAGACAAAAACATTTGAATGATGTTACGACAACGTTCCAAGAAGGCAAGCCTCAAACGAAATTCTGCCTACAAAATTTAAAAAAGAAATTTAACATTATTCTGTGACACGGCGACCTATTTTGCGAGTAAAGAGAATACCGCCGAAATTCTAATTTATTTGGTGATTTATTTCATACAAGACTAATGCCAAGTGAAGTGACAAAATAAAACCTGCTTTTTCGTTAGCATACAATTCAACAACGATTCATCACTTTACGGGTATTTTTTTATTACCCAAGCTTTTGTTTTAAATTTAATCTATTCTTAAAAAAAATTCGTTTTGAATTATTTTGTATGTATTCAGATTAGTCGATTTAAGCTTGAAATCTTTTGACGTGACAACGTCCTATAATTAGATGGAGCCGGCTGCACGAACAAAAAAACATGACTCATGAGGCGTTCCATTTAAGGCTTGAAGTGCAAGCGAGAGCGCGCAACGAGCGACAAAGAGGCACAATCGGCCTCCGCGTTCGGCAGCGTTCGACATCTGTCTCTCTCCTACTTGAGTGAGCGATGCATCCGCGTGGACAGCTGCTATACAATAATACATTTACATGTTTTCGTCAAGTATGAAGTTCAGTGAAAAGTGAATGTGGTGTCAATTGTTTATAGCAACGATAATTGCGATAATTGAAAAACGAAACCATTCCATCAGTATTTTCTTATGACGTTGTCACGTTCAACTATCGTCAGTAAATCGACTTTACAGACAACCGATTTTTTTTAGCATAGTTTATCATGTCCACAAACGTCAGAACAATGGACCTGTAATATTATTCATACGCTTTTATTAGCTTCAGACGTATGTATGCTTGTAACGGAATCTTTGAACATGATTTTGACCCCCTTCAAAACGTTGGCCTAATTCGAAATTTGGTATACTTATGAAGGACCGATGACAACTCAATATTTTAAAAAAAAGTTCAAAAATTAAAATTCAACTAAAAAATGAAAAATAATTAATATATAGTTTAAAAAACTAACAAAATACGCTTTTATAGAAAATTCAACTAAAAATAGAATTTTTTTTTTAATTAATTTGAATTAAACATAGTCTAAGAAAAAATGATTTTATTGTATTTCGTTAGTTTTTTTTAAGCTATTATTTATTTTTAACTTCGTTTAAGTGTCAATGTCAATGTCACGAATTTAATTATTTCAGAGTTTAATGGTACGTCGTAGTAATGATCTTTCTTGATGATCGATAGTAACATTATGGAAAGGATTGGTTGTAGAAGCCAGTAAGAAGCAATATTGAGGTAATTCTTTTTTTCAGTTCTTCCACCATCGTCTCCGAAGGTTCAGACAAGTCAGCACTACTACACGCCTGGGGATATCCTCAGAGCTAACTGTACGTCGGGACCGAGTCGCCCGCCACCTGAGCTTACATTCTTCATCAATGATATGCCTGTAAGTTCAAGCTGCACTTGATAGGAGATTTTAGGTTTTTTTTTTAATGCTTAGATGGGTGGACGAGCTCACAGCCCACCTGGTTTTAAGTGGTTACTAGAGCGCATAGACATATACAACTTAAATGCGCCACCCACCTTGAGATATAAGCTCTAAGGTCTCAGTACAGTTACAACGGCTGTACCACCCTTCAAACCGAAACGCATAACTGCTTCACGGCAGAAATAGGCAGGGTGATGGTACCTACCCGTACGGACTCACAAGAGGTCCTACCACCAGTAAAACCACGGGTAACCACCGGCTTCATGCTTGCATACTTGAAGGCGGCTTTCAATGTTAAATCCATAGAAAATGATGAATCAGAAGTACATCTTACTTTCTGGCTGGTAGCTCTTTATGTAGGAATTTTCAAATATACTTTTGATCCTTCGAGCTGTATTGTACGACAGAACATGGATATTAAAATATGCGATTTCTTAAGTAAGCACTTTAATTTAAGTATTCTGTCAAATATGTCTTGAAATGAAGCTTAATGGAATTTAATGGAATAAAAACACGAAGTGATAGTGAAAAGCAGCTTTCGTTTCATTTTCTCAAAGCTGCAACTAACTTGAACGCGTTGAATAAGCTCGCGGTACAACTTGGGCTAAGCAATATTATTCCGTACTCAATTCTATAGTGCTAAGTTTTAATGCCTGCCAGACTTTAAGTTTCGTGCTTTTCGGATTTCGTTATCTTTAAGCTCAAACCTATATTTTGTACATTCAAATTGATATATTTTATAAATAAGATTGATAAATAAAAATACCAGCTGTTATCTGCTGTTTGGCCAGCGTGGTCACAGAAAAGTGCCATAGTTTCCTATGGGAATGAGAAGTTTTTTCGGGATAAAATATGGCCTATGTCACTTTCCTGATCTACTTATCATAGATTCGGGATAAGAACCCGCCTCTTGTTCTTTTTGTATATAAATAACTACTTTTGGTATGCAAAAAAGTATACTCTCCTTTCAATTTTCACAAAATGTCTCTTTCCTGAAAATACTTATGTCATAATTTTAACTAAAAATTAATACGTCTATTATTATTCTCTATCACAATAGTATAACTAGTATTTACTACTATGCTAACAGTTATCGATTATAATTTAATTAATTACTGTACACAATATGAAAATATTTGTATCTAGTTAGTAATTAGTGGTTAGTAAATTAGAACTTTGCTTTATAATTATCATGTTATATAATACTATTAAGACAAAATATTTGTTTATCTCATGTGCGGTTATTATTATGAATTCGTGTTATCTTGAAAACACACGGTTCTGTAATGTGTTTTCACTCGTCGCTTCTTTTTAAATTGTATACTTTATTCGTTCGTATATCATTTCACCTTTCTGCTGGTTACGTTACCAACAAGAGAGGTGAAAGGGTTTTTTATTTATTTATTTTTTCTTAGATGTGTGGACGAGCTCACAGCCCATCTGGTGTTTAGTAGTTACCGGAGCCCATACACACCTACGACGTTAATGCCGTCATCCACTTCGAGACGAGTTCTTAGGTTCCAGTATTTACAGTACAATGGCTACTCCGCCCTTCAAACCGAAATGCATTACTATTTTACGACAGAAATAGGCAGGGTTATGGTACATAACCGTGTGGACTGACATGATATTGTCTTACCACCAGTTATTTGGTCATGCAATAGTGCTATTATACAGTACGTCAAAGATGAAAATATGTAATAAAAAAAAAATGAAGCTGCGTTTTAATACATTTTACACAACCGCATATGCATTTGGAAGTGGTCGCTTAGATTCATAGCAGCGGTTTGAGCGACAATGTTCGCAGCGTTGTTGTTCTGCTTATATTAGCAACTGTCGACCTCAGACCTCGGTCCGAGTCGGTGAGTCGGTGAGTCTTTGCGATTTAATTACACCTGTATTGTTCAAGTTATTCTTGGAAAAGTTTCTCTGCTCCGTTCCTTTGAGCAGTTTGAGCTTTCGGATTTTAAATTAACGTTGAAATGATTTTCGAACGGTTATAGTGCTTTAATGAAATTGGAATTTTCGGTGCAAAATTCTCGATTCCTTAGCCGAAATAGCAGTGGCAAATGGTTTTGTATATAATAATGAGAACCAGCTTCGATCTCAAATAATTTTCTTCTTATTCTCCAGCTAATCCCACTAGGTGGGGTCGGCACGGCGAATTTTCCTATTCCATTCTCTTCTATCAGCCGTCGTCTCAACACTCACTCCTCTCTCTCTCTCTCTCTCTCATATCGTCATTCACACACTCCATCCAGGTAATCTTCAGTCGACTCTTTTCCCCTCTACCTTGCACTACCATTTCCATAGATCTCCTAGTCACATGCATCTCTTGTCTACGTATCACATGTCCTTACCACACTAATCTCAAATAAATTTATTTATCTGGTAATCAAACAATACAATCATCATTGTGAGTGGCGGCGATATTTACGTTGTAGATGTCTATGAGCTCCAGTAACTACCTAACATCAGGTGGGCCGTGAGCTCGTCCACGTATCTAAGCAGTATAATAAAATAAAACCAGGAAAACTGTGTGAATGCTGCCCAATATGTATTATTACCAGTATTCTTCTAGGGTGGATTTAGGACATTCATAACTAATGAGTTATGACTTCATCAATATCTAACTATATATGTAATGTATCCTAGATTAATCCATCCTTCTACATTAAAAACCGAAAACTCATGTAGGAACGTGGGTGCTACGGACTCCGGTAACCGCTTAACCCGAAAACTAGCCGTGAGCTCATCCCCCATTTGAGTAATAAAATAAATAATAGTTTAAAAAAAAACTAAAAAACACGCTTCATATAAAATTCAACTAAAAAATAGAAAATAAATTTTAATAAATTTAAAGTGAAAATAGTGTAAAAATGTTTTATTGCAAAAAAAAAGCGTGGGGTGTATGGTGTTATTAGTTATAAATATTTTTCTGAGAGATATGAGTAGAAGAATTATTATTTCAATAATATCTTAAAAAGCACCCCACGCATTTTTTTAAATAAAATATATTTTACACTATTTTCAATTTAAATTTATTTCCTTTTTTTATATGAATTTTATATAAAGCGTGTTTTTTTAGTTTTTTTTAACTATTATTTATTTTTCATTTTTTAGTTCAATTTTCTATAAAAGCGTATTTTTAAAACTATTAAGTACTTTAACATCAATTCCTTCCTTAGATAAAAATTATATAAATTGGCAAAAAAAAAAAAATTTTGCAAATTGAATAATGGAATAATCTTATCAAATTAGTGTATTGTCATCGATCCTCGATAAATCTACAAAGTTTGAGTGAAATCTGGCAGTTTAAAGTGGGTCAAAATCGCGTCTAAAGGAGTCAGTTACAAACATACAAACATACATACAAGTGAAGCTAATATAAAGCGTGTAAAAAAGACACAAGTCTAGTTATGTAGCACCATCTCCTCTTATGTATCTACTTGCATACATTATCGCATCAGCTCATCTTTCTGGAAAACTAAGAAATATATTTGACAAATCATTTCGTCAATTTAGGGTATACCAAGTGGCTTTCAAATATCTTTATCATTTGAACTACTAAATTTTAATATAAGCTATGAATTTATCCGTACGCTAACGTTCCTAAAGTGTAGTTTTAGTACAGTTCACTATTTTGAATACCTAAGTTGAGTATGTATCAAACACAAACAATGTGAGCTTATGAAGTAGCGTTAGTTACGGGTCAGTGGCTTGATCAAATGTTTCATTAAAGTTATTTGGGTACTCAAAAAGTATAGTAACTCAAAAGTAATTATTGAGCTTAGAGTTGATCGGTTGATTTGCTGGTGGAAAGGCGCATTGTGTGCTTGCACGGGTAGAAACCACTGTCCTTCCTATTTCGCCTCAAAGCTGTAATGCATTCCGGTTTGAAGGGTGGGACAAGTAATACCTATGTCTCAAGGTCAGTGCCCGAATTCATGTTATAATGTGTATGGGCTTCGTTAACTAGTTAACATCAGACGGGTTATCACAACATTATCAAAGTTATTAAGAAACTAGTATATGAATTATCGCAGAATCTATCGAGGAACTTGTTGCTCAGGGTAGGGTCAATAGTAAAAGAACCATGCGAATCATGGAGAACAGCTGTCAAGGCTTCAATAAACAAGGATGCCAAGAGTAACCGACTATGATGATGATGATGATGACGATATGAATTATATATTTTTCCATCAGGTAACACCAGGTACATACCAAGTTCACCAAGCTCACGAAGGACTCCTCCTCGCGGAGCTCTACGTCCAAATTCAGCTATGGCCAGCGCATTATGAGCGAGGGGCCCCCATCCTGCGCTGCGAAGCCAAAGTAGCCGACCTGTACAGAGATGATTCAGCTGTGGCGCTGTATTCAGCGAACAGCGATCCAAAGATTGAGAGGGGTGAGTTCAAAATTGAATAACATGATTACTGAAACAGGTTAGTGTGACTTTCCATTTTGATCAATTAAGTAGTCTAAAAAAACCTCCTACGTACCTTTCTACTATGCTACAAAATAAAAAAAAACATTGATAAAATATTTTCTAATTAAAAACATTTTTATAATGTTACCATACTAAGGGCGGGCGCGCTCTACTGTAATAATAATAATAATTGCTAAATATACGAAAATTAATCTAACATCAGTTTTCAAAAAAAAAACTGACTGACATGTATGTACATCTCTCGTTGTACCTAAGCCTACAAAATCGCCCTATTCGTCATATTATACGGTTTCTGATGCATGGTAATTGAGGTATTTCTTGGCTGCATCAGCTCTTATTAGTTTAAGGTTAAACATCACTTAAGCTTTGATTTGTCCCTTATTTTGAGTAGAAGGAAGCCGAGATATACATTTCAACGCTTTCTATTTTCTTTTGATTAAGTTCTTTGCGGGATACAAGACAAATTGGCTTTCGATAGGTGTCCTAGCCTCATCGATCAGAACCTTTTTCTGGTGTACTCCAGCGTGATTCGTAGTCCAGAGGAGTTAGAGTGGCGAAAGTGACTGAGAGTTTATTATCAGCGATTATACGTATGTAATTGTGACCACCATGTCTTATTTCATGGTGCATAACACGTTGTTATATCCAGTAGCACAAATGTTATACCTTTAAACGAGCAATTCTTGTATATTAATATATATATATAATCTGAATCTCGGAAACGGCTCCAACGATTTTCATAAAATTTAGTATACAGGGGATTTCGGGGACGATAAATCGATCTACGAATTATTTTCAGAAAATGTTGTTTTAATCATGTTTTCAATTTTCAACTTTATTGATTGACTCTTCCCGATATCTATTGGTGAATAATAATACTATTAAGCTATTTCAGCAGATGGCGTTGTTAAGCCACCCGAAGCCAATGAGTGTTTGGTTTGAGGTTAGACCAAGAAAATGAATTGTTTATTTATATTATTTGTGTCTTTTTCATATAAAATATAGAAAAAATACCGAGCAAAACTCGGTCATCGTCTAGTACTCATAAAATGTAGACATGAACTTTATTATGTTATTTTGATGTGGATTCCCGGAATTCCGTTTGAAAAATTTACTCGCCAAAGGCTTTTTGCATAGCTTTGTCTTTATTATTTTATGCATCGTGTTTCCTTTTAGATATTTTGGTTTTGACAAATACAAATTCGCTTAAGTTCGTCGAGGGTTGGTGCGTAATTAAAAATATATGTTTGCATTCACTTTAAATTAATTGGCTTTATCCTCTTTTGTGTGAACATAACCACATAACGCAGACAAATTTGTTAAGTTTTAATTCGTTATGAAATTTAATTTAATTATAAAATTAGCTAGTGTTTCGTTACTGCTCTCAGAATACATACATAAAAATTTGTAAAGCCGTTTTCCAATGTTGATTTATAAGTAAGCCCATTGGCTAATGCACAAACCGTGCCAGAGTCAAAAAAGAAAGATAGAAGTAAGCCCACTCGGTGATGATGAAACATTATACCGCTTTGTCCAAAAGTGCTGATCATATTATAAATCTCAGTATATTAAAATTTTGTCAATTTTCTTATAATAAAAAATGAACACTTTTTAACTGGCTTTATATTGAACTTACAGTAGGTATCAAAATACAAATTATTATATTCCAATTTTTATTTCGACCCGATGTCTTAAAGTGTATGTTAGCGTGACATTTAGAAGCTTTGGAAACGATTATTCAGAGTGGTATTAACCAAATTTTTCCACATGTCATAGCGAATTAGTAAGCTAAAGTGTTAATGGACTGACCGTATTAGCTGGAGAACCGATAACCGTTGGGGTAAACCTGTTCTTGAGTGGAGACCGCGAATTGGCAAACGAAGTGCAGGATTCCTTCAAGCTTGGCAGAGAGACGATTTATGCAAAGTGGCTGACAAGAGCTGGATGAGAGAAGCCGAGGATCATGCTCAGTGGAGTGGAATTGAAGAGGCCTATGGCTAGCAGTGGACTGCTTTAGCTGATGATGGTGATAAGGATTCAGAGGATCATAACCTCGTCTACTCAAGTAGCCTAATAAATTATACAATAAAGACGTTCCTCTTATTCTATAGATGTTCAAGGGCTTTTTTCATCGTGTGGAACTTTCATGGGTAACAAAAGGACAGCATCATTAAAATTCTTGACGAGTAACTTCGAAATTCCCCGTTCACAACTTTATTATAAGGTTCATTAAAACTAATTATTTGTTTGGAAGATTTTCTAAGAGATTCGAACATTATTAAATTTTAAGAGTTTACTTCAATGAAAACTTTGTTCAGGTTAAAACATACCACTTGGATATTATAGGTAGACATTTTTATATTAAGTCAAGATATAAATACGAAGTGCTTGATCCATATCAACTCAGATATGAATGGTAAAGTAAAAGGTCTGTTATTCTAACTTATTTAATTTCTATTTTATTTTATGTTAGTAGCTAGGTACATAGATAAAAACTGGGTAATGTATTTACGAAAGTATTCCATTTCAAATCAAAGTACCCGGTTTATGTACCCATTTATGGATACAAGTTGAGTGAATCTGAAATGAAACGGTGCGTTGGTGTGATGGCAATAATGAGATAACGAGATCTCATTATCATCTCAAATATTTTCTCGGAGCACTCCTCATGGGAGGATACGGTTTAGAATACAGAGAGAACCGAAGTCTCTCCGTAGACCCAGAGGTTTCAAACGATCTGTGAGAACAAGACTGTTTGTTGCCTAATATAATCAGGATGGTTATGTCAGGTTGCATTGTATTAGTGATCACCCCATGATCAAAACTCTATGGTGAACGCTAACGCCAAGACTGATCAAGATTAGTAGATCTAGATTGATATGATATTAATTGATTTTTGTATAGATATATGAAAAAAATAAAATAGATTTATATTTTTTTATAAAAAATAACTAAGTTAATAGTAGCTAGATAAATACAAAAAGAAAATCAGTTGACAAACACAGAGCATACAATGGCTCTCAACTTTTATTTTTGCCTATTTAAATTGTTTCCATTAAATTTCCAGTAATAAATAACCAACTTAACCTAAATGCTTACTCACATTTATCCTTTAGTTTATATTGGAGTTAAGGAAAGCACCAAGCAATTAGTTTTATACAAATAGAATATCATGAGTTGTTCTTATTCACATTATTTCCATATAACAGACAACGGAAAGTCTATATTACCATTTTCATATTAGATTTATCACCTCAACATGACCCAGCATCCGATTCTCGTTCACGCAATTTACTACTGATCCGTAATCGTAATCAATTTCTAAGTACAGCGTTCTCGGGCAGGAAACGCAGCTGATGCAATTATGAGAACTGAAATAAGGAACGCATTATGAAGATGCATGAGTTATTACATCTTGCTTTTAATGTTCTCAGAAGTAATGTGCTAAGGAATGTTTAACAAGTTTCTTTCGAGGTATTGCAATTATATTAAATCAAATATTTCTGTAGTCTAATGATTTTTAAAGACAATTAAGTAATTGGCAATGGGCTTCTGATCCTGGAAGCCTGTGTGAGCGCATTCCGTCTATGATTTGAACCGCTATGATTTATTAACGGCTATGCCATTTTATAATGATGTAATGGAGAGGTGAACTCCATGACCCAACCGTAACTTAAGAAGCTACCTGACCCTAGGAACTCTACGACATAAATTTTTCACTGAGTATTATTTCACCATACTGTGATCACTATGCGAGATTTTCTTATGGTTTCATATGAGTTCGTACGTGTGGTGCCACTCTTTACCTCAAAGCAATAATGCGTTCTAGTTTGTAGGGCGGTCGTTATGCTATTAAGACTTGGATCTCTAATGACAAACTATTCGTGTTTTGGTATCTATGGGCCCTAGTCGGATAAGCTCGTAATACTAGAGACTCCGTGAGGCTATCTAACCATATGCAGCACAAAAAATCTTAAATATTTTCAGGTCAAACTTTTAAGAGTATCTAAACAAATAATTGATTGATGTTAAACAAGCAATCACACACAGTCATCTGGATCCAAAACAATCAAACAATTTCTTGTAGTATGAAATACTACTAAACTCATATATATACATTTGAGTATAAGCATAAATAAGTATCAAGCACCCAGAAACAGAGCGAATGTTGAATAATTTTACATTCACGCATTTACATAAAAAAATGGTCAAACTAATCTCGAAATCATTTAATTCCCGGTACATCGGCCATTACATTAGCAGACGGGAAGTTTCGCTAATGAGATTACGTTTGCCAAACCAAAGAGGGCATTGAGAGCTCGGCTGAGTTATAGCTTCCCCTGTACCATTCGCGCAGACAATTTCCTCTATACAGAACACGAACAGTGCAGTGTTTGTTAAGAGATAATAAATTTTACCTTTGAACCATTTGAACGCCATGTTTCGGTTACCCAGAAATGTTGGTTATTGCTTGTTTTAAACAACCAATGCTTGTGATGTTTAGTTTCTATGAGTCTTAAATATATTTAAGATTTAACTGTCCAATTTTTATTTGTTCATTAGTATTCGAGTTCTATCTTATTTTTTGTAATGAAGTTCCTTATGGGACGATGCGGAGGGGTACCCTAACCGGGAAAAAACGTCCGTAACGTAAGATTTTTTCTATTTAGTTTGTTACCAATAGATGTCGCTGCACGTATATTCAACGATTCCTGAATCGCGGTGACGAGATGTTACACAGTGGATAGACGTTTTCGTATTTCTCTTGCTAAATCTTACTTACCTGGCGTAGAGGATACCGTGATCATGCAGGCGGTTCCCCCAGGGCGAGGCTGCTCCATTGCGCTGCGGAGTAGTTGACCCTTGCGATTATTTTTATTTTTATCAATAAAAAATCATAATAAAAATTGTTTACCCGAATAAATATTTTCTTTATACCTCGAATAGAACTTAAAATTGATATTTTTATAACAAGGTACTTCGTTCCTATCCGGTGTCCCACGACACCACACATTTATTTTATTTTATATCTCTTGTTTAAATGCTGATGTTCCACGTCTTGTTAAAGGATAACAGGAGCCTATAGAAATCCTTGAGACATGAATGAGGTCGAAGTCTCCAAGTACAATGACTATCTCATCATTCTGTATTTGAAATTGACTTTCGAACCAAAACGCGTTACTGCTTCGTGGCAAATAAGTAGAATGATGATACCTAGCCGTGCGAGTTTACTTTACATCCTTATCATCAACAAATACCAGTTGACGACTGCTGTACTCTGGTATAGCTCAGAAAGACCTTAGTCTTATAGCACTTATGCTGTTTTCCATTCTTCAGTGAATCCCTAGACGCTTTTAAGGACACTCACGAAAAGAATGGTGCTATTTTAAACCACCACACACCCAAAGGCACTATGAGAATGCTACACTCGTATTTTCAGTACGCAAATTCTGGTACCACACTCTCTTGCCTATCTTTGTCTCTAATCTTAAGCTCCTGATTTGGAAAAATACGACCTGAGACATGACATATAAGTGGTAAACTGGACGTCGTCATCATTATGGTGTCTATGGTCTTCACTAACTGCTTATGACAGATCAAGTCAGCCTAGATGCCTAAGCTAACAAAAAAAAAACTTTGTAAGTCACCGAACCGAAGTAACATTTTCCAAGTGCGCTACCAACATACATTTGTGTATATTTATTTACAGTCAATCTGTCGTCGCTTCGCCTTAAGGTGGCGCAAATTAAATTACTTAAGCCTTTCATTGCGGAATAGGGACGTTTCAAAGTGAGGGTGAATACCATATAATTCACGTGTTGAGTAAACAGTCGTTTTACCTGTAGCTAGGTTTGGGCTTAAAGGTACGAAATTTTTAATTACCCCTCGCTGGTATTTGTATGGGCATGTTATAGCATTGTGGTATAAACAAAATCTTTATGGTCTAGAATAGCGCGGTCATTTGAGTTACTACCATACTACCATGGAGTCACCGCAGAATGGGAGACAGTGTTATCTGAGCACTAATACCGGAGTATCACCAGCTGGAATTAGGGCTTATTGAATAATGGGAAAATCGTTAGTTCACGTTGGATACAGGTATGGTGGTAGGACGACTTGTGAGTCCGCACGGGTAGGTACCACTACCCTGCCTATTTCTACGCTGAACCTAGCAATCAGGTTTCAAGGTTGGTGGTGGCATTTAAGTCGTAAAAGTCTATGGACTCCGATAACCCCTTACAGGAGCTCGTGAGCCGTGAGCTCGTCCACTGACCTAAGGAATAATAAAATAAAATTAAAAGGCTCGACGAGTAAATTAACCCACAGATACAGTCCACTGAGTTTCTCGTCGGATCTTCTCAGTGGGTCGCGGTGGTAGATTCTACGAAGCACGGCTCTTGCTAGGATTCGTGTTAGCAACCTCGTTAGGTTTGAGTCCCGTAGCTCACCTACTAGTTAAGGTTACGCTGAAGTAGCCTCTCAAGGCTATCAGATTAGGTAGGAAAAAAAAGCTGCCGAGCACGACCGGCTTTCACTAGTCTACTAAGACAAAGCTGCACTAGCAGAACTTACTAATGCTATTACCTCTTTCCAGTGACGTCACCGGGCTCCGGTTCGAAACAGCACCTGTGCCAAGTCCTAGCGCTGATCCTCATCATCGTATGGACGAACGTCTCATAGACTCTACGTATACTGTGTATAAATAATATAATGATTAGTTATAACCGATTCAGCGGACGGTTAAAGATTGTGAATTTAACAAAAAAAAAAATAGTTTATCCTACCGAATCGAGCTGAGTTACGCCAAAGAATTGTAAAGACTTAAGTATATTGTTGATTTAATACAAATATATATGTCGAACAATGATTTTCTTTTATTTACTGTGATAATAATGACTTACTTACCTACTTATTCTGCGAATGAAGTGCCAAATTCAAATTGTATTCGGAGATCGCATGCTGTGAATAAGACGTACATCTGGTGGAACCTATAAGCTCGCAAAAATTGATAAAAGCACCCCACCTATTTTAATCACGAAGCATCCATGACTTATTTTGCTGAAACGTAAAATAACCATCTTGAAGTCATAATAATATGTGGATTTAGTTCATCCTTATATTATAAGTAGGCTTTAGTATTTTTACTAGTGGTAGAGCGTCTTGGGAGCATGCTGGGGTAGGTGCCACCATCCCGCCTATTTCTGCCACGAAGCAGTAATGCGTTCCGTCTTGAGGGGTAGGTTAGCCGTTGTACTATAGAACTGAGGCTTAGAACTCATGTCTCAAGGTAGATGGGAGGACTTACGCTGTTGATGCATATGAGCTCCGGTGAAAACTTAAGACTAGGTAGACCCCCTGAACTCACTAGACTTTTTACTGGTGGTAAGACCTCTTGTGAGTCCGCACGGGTAGGTACCACCACCCCGCCTATTTCTGCCGTGAAGCAGTAATGCGTTTCGGTTTGAAGGGTGGGGCAGCTGTTGTAACTATACTGAGACCTTAGAACTTATATCTCAAGGTGGGTGGCGCATTTACGTAGTGGATGTCTATGGGCTCCAGTAACCAGTCAACACCAGGTGGGCTGTGAGCTCTTCCACTCATCTAAGCAATAAAAAATAAAAAATAGACAATTAACATCAATTGTACTAATCTACCCCATTACTATAAAGAGACGAAGATAATAACAGGCAGGATTTCTCCATTTATTTATTTATTTATTTATTTATTTATTTATTTATTTATTTATTTATTTATTTATTTATTTATTTAATTAGTCTACTTACAAATTAACAGTATAAACCAAAACATTTGTAAGGTATTAAAGCCACATGACAGGATAACCCCATATTGAGGACGCCGCTAATTACAACCCTCACCAGGATTTCGCAGCAGCCAGCCAGCGACGATGCCCTTAACACATACTGATGAATCTACTTTAGGTGCTATGGAATGCTACTCATTCTAATTCTAATGCAAATTATGAAGCAAATCCGAGGTTTGAAGTCGGTAAGGTTTCATCTTATACCTTTAAACGAGCAACTCTTGTATATATATATGAATCTCGGAAACGGCTCCAACGATTTTCATAAAATTTAGTATACAGGGGATTTCGGGGGCGATAAATCGATCTAGCTACGATTTATTTTCAGAAAATGTTGTTTTATTCGTGTTTTCAATAATCGAATCTTCCCGACATCTATTGACGAATAATAATACTATTTTTCTTAATTGAGGGCAACTAACCGCTTTAAAGACACAACAAGATGGCGTCATCATCTAGTGTAAATAAACCTACATAAAAGCTAACAAAATCGTGTTAAAATTTCTATCTTAAAAACATTGTTTCGATACAAATTTGTTACGAGAGTTTCCTTCATACGTTGTTGTTTCAACGCGAACTTGTATTGAAGCAACGAAGCCACCAGACCTCGCAAACGAAGTTTTTAATTACGCCTCCTTGCCACTTTTGGTGTTGTTCCCGTTTCGGCGTTCTATTTCTGTGTTTGCGGGTCTGCGGATAACGGTTATGACGTCAGACAAACGAGATTACTCATGCGTGATGTGTTGAAAGGAAAAATAAGTTTCGGGCAAATTTTCGATATACATTCTTTTTCTAAAATCTGAATTTCGGGATTGCTACTCTATGCTTTGCTTATTTCGGTAAAACTGTTGAAAACTTATGACTGCAACGTTATGAATAGAGAAGTGTCAGTTTTTTTTGTAGCTTAGATGGGCGTACGATCTCACAGCCCACATGGTGTTAAGTGGTTAGTGAAGCCCATAGACATCTACAACGTAAATTCCGTCACCTACCTTGCGATATGAGTTCGAAGGTTTGAGTGTGACGGCTGCCCCACCCTTCAAGACGCAACACTACTTCACAGTAAAAATAAGCAGGGTTATGGTACCTACCCGTGCGGACTCACAAGACATCCTACCACCAGTAAAAAATAATAATTAGTGCTCTTTGATCGTACATATGCAGGAGTATTTTATGTCACCTAAACAAAAATATTCTAATCAGTACACGAGAAAAACTAGACCAGTTTATATAATACAATCTATTTTTGTATCACCCTGCATATGATTTGTAATTGTATTTTATTTATTTTTTATTTATACTTATTGTACACAAAAAGAAAATACAATAAAAACAGATTTAAAGAATGTCTAAATACTATGTACAAAGGCGAGCTTAACTCATTCATGAGTTTTCTTCCAGCAAACCAGTATCAGAGAGAAATGCGATGTATAAGAGGGGAATAGTGTACAATATAAGAGCTATTAAAGCATGATTTTTAAATTAAGCATTAAAAAAAAAATCTAATATTAAATGAAAAATACATATAAATAAAAATACATAAAACAACTTAAATACGATTAAAGTGACAGGAAATGTTTCTTCATTTGACTCTTAAAAACTTCTAGAGAGGAACTAGCACGAATAGGTTGAGGGAGAGAATTCCATAATCGCACTGCTTGTATTGTGAAAGAGCCACTATAGCGACTAGAGCTGTGTATGGGAGTTTTTAAAAGAAGAGAAGTAGCTTGTCGACTAACTTTGCCGTCAGGAATCAGATATTCAAAGCGTTCACGGAGATAGATAGGGGCATCAGGATTGTGAAGAATATAATATTTGATTTGTAATTGTCAACTATTTTAAAAATTATCAAGTCCGGATATTTGGTAATTCATCGATTTCTTTGTGATTTTCAATCACATAGCAAACATGAATAGAAATAGATTTATTTACAATATCTTGGGATTCGTCTTTCCTAGCTTACTAGATATTCCAGCGACTCAGTAAAAGGATCGAAGAGAGCAGTCAACGTGTTGACCAAATTGAAATGGCGTCAATCTAATGGACATTATTACTAATACATGATCCATTGAGAAGCTGTGTTATCGAATCATATCCAATTTCAGGTTGATCACGCAGCGTAATTATCAAACAAGATGGTTTACGGATATATTGCATTCATGTGTAACTAACCATCTGAATTAATATTCATTAATTTAATATTAATATTAGATTTACGGTTTTTATGATAACGATTTGTGTCTATTTGTAAGCTTTTAGAATTTATATTCAAGGCATTAACAATGCTTTAAGTATGTTTCCCTCCATCACAAATAAACGAATGAGCCGTTAGATATTATAAGTTGTACTTAGATACACTGATATGATTAACTTGAGTCCTTCGATCAAAATCTTCGTTGGACTGTGTTTCTCGCAGTGGACTGTATTTTGTGTCGCTGGCTAGCTTCAATGAAACCTGATTTAGAAAGAAGGCCTCTTATTTCTCTTGGTACACAATACAAAACACTGTTGTTGTCTGGAATGTTGTTGTTTGGAACTTGTATATATTATTTTGCAAGCTTATCTTGAAAATGTCGTAAGCAAGATTCAGGCATCTGTCAAATATCTTGTCTTATGCGATGGCTTCCTGGCACATACTTCAGACTGAAAATCGTCACATCATAGGGAGCAAATTGGATGTGTGTTTTCGATTTAGAATATACCCTTTGTCTTTCCAAGGATGTCGTAAAAGGCGACTAAAGAGAATTTCTGAGTATTACGCGAGGGTTTTGTAGTTACCAACCGACATTTACTCATGGTAGAGTCTATTATTACCCTGCGTAGGTAGATACCGCCATTCCGCCCAGTTTTGTCGCGAAGCAGCCGTTCGTAATTTTACTTGTAAGAAAAAAGGTCCAAAAACATATTTAGCCACATTCGTGTGGCATTTTTATTCATTTAAAATTTACGTCATCATCATCAGCCCGTGGATGTTCACTAATGGACATTTACTATTATTTGTCAAGTAATTTATACAGAACAATGAGATTACTATTAGACAAGATTGTAGAAACTGAATACACAAATTGTGTTAAACTTTGTCAAATTCACAGACAAACAAAAGCCTAATTACAATTTTAATAAATTAATTAGTATCCATATAAGCGGTTGGAAAACGCTGCGCTTATTTTATGATCGCTTTAAAAGATAACGCCACATCAAACGTTCTGATAAAAACCGTGATACCGTTAGCAAAACAGGAGAATAATTATTAAAAACATTAAAACTTTCGCTATTCAACAGCTTCAATGTAGAACTTCTTGCTGTGTTGTGGAGGCGTGAAGCATACGTATAAGAAAATAATAGCAGTCTAATAGTATTATAATAGGTATATAGATAGATGTATAGATAATAGATTCGATAGATTGTGTGTTTCATTGTTCTCTTTAGCATTTATCACTAACTGAAAAGTCTTAGTCTACAAATAATTGTTTGTTTCTGTTAAGATAAGATAAGATAAGCTTTTATTAACAATCTAAATTAGATTACGAGATTAGATAGAACGAGAATTAGAGAAGTTACATTTTTAATACACTTATTATCTAGTTTTATTATTCGACACCAGTTTCTTGATTGTCTTGCTGTACAGCATAGGCCTCCCCAAGGGTTCTCCATAATATTCTATCCTGCGTTTTTCTCATCCAAGTCGTTCCTGCCACTTTTTTGATGTCATCTTCACATCTACGTTGCTGTCTTCCTCTATTTCGCTTTTTATATCTTGGACACCATTCTGTCACTCCTTTGGCCCATTTTTCTATTTTATCTCGAATTATATGTCCAGTCCATTTCCATTTCAGTTACTTATAATCTGTTACTTATAATCAATTGCTACAGTTTTTTATTGCATTACGAAAAATATTATGCTCATTCTACTTAAAATGCTCTGTTACTATCCCGAAGCTGATCATGACGCATGGGTAATGATGCGAAGCGTGAACTCGACTTCCGTGTTCCCGAACCGGATTTGTGTACCCGGAGATTATCTTTTCTAAC